TTACAATTGATTTCAAAAGTTGTATATAATATGTATTTAATTTTATATTTGTATCCTCTTTGTAATACCTATTTAACAAGTAAGGTAGAGTAGTTTAGGATCCTTATTAAGAGTGAAAACCAGGATACTGCTTACTAAGTACATTGCTCACAGATTGTAGACAGATTCTTGTTTAAACTAAGGGATATTCTACAGTCTTTAAATAATACTTACTTAATAGGTACAAGTAGTATTATAAATACATCTCTCAGACAAGAGACTAGAGCTAGAAAAGGCTAAAACTAATATACTTTACTAACATTATATAGATTAAAGAAGTAGATCTCTGAAGTTTGAACAACTGTTCAAATGTGTAACACTTTGTAATCTTATACCTTATCTTAACTTATAAGAGTAATTCTGTACTTTTTGAGAAAGCTTAAGATAACAATATAATACTAAATTCAAGCCTTAGTGTACTTGTCCTTTACTATCCTGTATAAAACAAAGGCCTGTTTAATTAAATCTAGAGAATCCAAGCAAATGTAACAAAGGAGGAACTATAATCTATAATAGGAAATACAATAAGTAGATATAGAGTTACTTGACTAAAGACTACACTCTCTTTAAGTAATTATAGTAAAAGTTAGCTATATGACTCACAGAGTTAAGAAGCTTAAACAAAAGGGTACAAATGCTAGGCTTAGTAGTAGGCTAGGATTTGCTCTCAAATTTAGACTCAATGTTACAAAAACCTACTAAAATTTCAATCTATCCTATTATTGAATTAAGACATTTATATATATAGATTGTATTGGATAGTTATTTTTAGTATTAGATAGTTATTTTCAGTTATTCTTAAATTAACTGCTACAAAAAAAAGGAAGGAAAGGATATAATAGTACTATAAGAATACTTGTAAGAACTAAGATATAATACAGCTAGTATGTTTCTGGATCAAAAAAGGTTAATAATTAATCTGAGTTCTAAATTACTTTGTCCAGAAAGACTAATCCATTACATTGTTTCACCTAAGTTTGTAGAATGTACAAGAAACTTTAATGTATTCAAATCAACATGTAGTGACCAAGCTACAGCCTATTAGTTTATACCTTCAAAAATTAACTCCAAATCCAGTTATTAGTCTAAAAATAATATATAATGAAACAACTCAATATTCAATCTCTAGGCATCTCTGAGCATTACTCATAATACTAAAGTTTGAGTAGAGTCTTGTGTTTCAGTCTTACAATCAAAAAGTATAAATGAGGATGCCTCCTTTAGCTTAAGAGGAGTACAATTACAAGATCACAAGGACCTATTGTACTGAAACCACCTAATAATACAATGAAGATGTCTGGAACTGGAAGAGTAACTCTTGACAAATGCTTGAGAAATACAGGTGTTCAGAGCTGTACACACTTACTGTTGTACTTTTTGTGTCACAACACTGAAACATAGAAATATATTATAACTATTAAGAATACCAGATGTTCAGTTATGATTAAGGAATTCACAGATGTAATAGGAAGGCCTCTGTCCAAATTTATTGTCAGTGAGTATAGTATGTACTATTTACTAATTGTAATCTGCCAGAGACAGTATATGTTAATTACTTACACTGTGTAGAAATGAATCGACCAGAAGGGTCTAGTAGTCCTTCAGCCATACTAAATGTGATTCATGTAAGATTGTTGAAAACTATCAAGAAGGTCAAAATTCAAGCAGATACAGACAAAAACATTAATACAAACAATTCCAGAAGTAAGCTTATGAATTACTTTATCCTAGCATTAAACTTGAGAGAGGTACACAAAATGTCAGATAAAAGGATGGAAGAGGGGTACAAGAAGGAGCAAGAACAGAAAAGACAGGGAGAGCACTTCTAGTAAATATTATAAAACAATAATGCAAGACCAGTTCTTAACACAAATAGTCTATAAGCTCTAATAGCTAATAGAATAGTTATAGAAATAAATCAGAGAAGAAATGTGAAAGTTACTGAATAGAAACATTAATGATAACTAAATTAATAAACTTCTTTTTAAAAACATGTTAGTTGCTTGACTCTTAAAACAGGCACACATGAAGTAAAATTTGTTGGAAATTTATCATAAATTAGCTCATGTACTATAAAGAGGAAATAGTAGGATCATGTCTGAGTTTAAATATATTAAAGATAATGAGAATGTTCACTAATGCATAATAAAGAAGCAGATTTAAAGAGAGAGGAACTAAAAGGAGAAATTATAGTGTAATAATACTTACTATTTAATTAGTATACTACCAAGTTTTATAAATTCACCTTACTATAAAGTCACCTTGTTAGGGTTCATTATACAAGTAGTTAAGAGATGGAGCAAATTGATCACAGGATGGTTATACTGCTATGAAACTAATGTTCTCAGGTTTTTGATCCTGTACACATGAAAATAATGTGTTTGTCTAGACCCTTTTAGTAACACCTTCCTATACTCATTTTTCAAGATACTTGTTTCATGAATTACTAGGGGTCTGACAGTGATAGTGAGGCATCAGAAGGTGATACAAATCCTTTGCACCATATTCTACCAGAGATTCTCAATCAACTTGCTCATCTAAACCTTAGGAGTTGGCTCATTTCTAAACAGAAGAAGTCCATTTCTATAGGAGCATATGGAGACATCTGTAAAGGCAAATATACTGTTGAAGGGCAAGGTGTAGTCAGAGCTGCCATCAAATGTCTTTGGTTTTACCTGGAGGAGGATATTAGGCTGGTAAGCTGTTGATTAGTATTAAGTAATTGCTACAGTTAATAACTTCTATCTAGTTGTTTGAGAAAGAGGTTTATGTCTAGTCAAAGCTGAAGTACAATAATATTCTTTCTCTCCTTGGATATGATTTTGACAAGGTAACTAGGTATCTGCTACTAGTATCAGAGTAGATGGACAATAGATTAGTGTGGACATACATTAGATTGTATCTAGAGGCAGACATAATGTGTCTAGTATAAACATTCTTTCATTACAACTACTAGTACTGTTTGTACTAGTATTCTACAAGATATGTAGGATTGTACAAGGTCTTACATACCTCTATGAAGAAGGTATGGTCCATTCAGATATCAAATCAGTGTGTACAGTTGAGCTGTTTTATAACACATTATCAATATTGTGTTTGTTGTCAAGGACAACATTCTTGTCTCAGACAATAGTAAAGCTCTCATATGTGATTTTGGATGTTCCTGTATGATTGCTACAAACCACACCTTTGTCAATCTCACCTCAGGCCTGAAAGGGACCTTGAGTTATCTTACTTACAAGCTTGTAACTGAACATTCTATGAGACATACTAACAGACTAATGTGTAAGCATTTAGAATAACTGTATTTGTGAGTAGTACTTGTCAGTAAAGACAGAAATCCTTTCTAATGACATAATAGGAGCTAGTTACTGAAAAGTGCCTGTTTGAAGGACTATTAGATATTCAGGCAATTGCAGCTTTGCAAAACTATAATTTACTTTCTTTTCTACAAGTATTACTGACAAAAATACTTGTTCAAGAAGTAAAGACTCTGTCTTGTTAGAAGCAGAAGCTGCTAGAATGTCCATCAATGACAAGATTAGTAATGATATTAGATGTACTCACAAGACTGAGACTTGTTCTAACATTAAGTGATACACCTGAAAATGTTTCAGAAGAATCCACACCTAGAGTAGATTAGTAGTATGTATACTCTGTCTCTGCCAGGAATACAGCTCCACTTTATGACCTAGACAATTTAATCCCTGTGTATGTTATAAGGCCTCCTTATCCTAATACAGCTTCTACTAATGAAGACAAATGTAAGTTTGATAATGACATTAATAGTAGCTTATAGTAGGCACCTCTTAAGCATTAGGGGCCAAATCAACCTACTTTGTCTGTCATTACTAAGACCAGGAAGGCTAACTTCCCTCTTCCACCCTTAGCTACATCTTGTAGTACAATGTAGAATGAGGAGAATTGAGAAAAGGGGGTGTGGTTGGAGCAAGAAAGCCAGCTCATAAAAGCCAGTCAAAATAATACTATGAGTAGGCCTTGTCCTAAAGAGATCACAAATCACTTAGATGCATATTTCCCTAATCACAACATGGCCAAACTATTTGCTCATTCTACCTCTAGTAGGTCCTTACATATTGCTACCAAGCTGTTTAGAGAAGAATCTTAGAGCCTGATTGTGAGTAATAATAAGAGATTGAGACATAAGAAGTCAATTCAACTTATAGCATCTAAGGCAAGGAAGAACTTTGATAGGTCAAACACCTCTGATCACTCAAAGAATCTGTACATAAGAACTACAAAGCTCTAGGGAAGTAAAGTTGAAGAAGTAGCTACTTTACAGGTTCCTTACATTCTGCCTGTTCCTGAAACACCTACTGGCCATAATCTGACAAGTGTGTTTAATATGTTTAGCAGATTAGTCTTGTATTTACCTTATAATAGTTGGCTTCAAATGGGTACAGGGCAAACTCATTAGTAAGAGTACTTATGGACAGGTTTACCTGGCTCTGAATGTGACAACTAGTAAAATGATGACTGTGAAACAAGTTGAGATCCCTCAATACAATGTTGATCATAATAATAAGAGACAAGTCAGTATAGTTGAAGTACTTAAATTGGAAATCAACACATTGAAGGATCTGGATCATTCTAATATTATACAGTGTCTGGGTTTTGAGCAGACACCTAATGTGTTAAGCATGTGAGCAAAGCTTGACTGAAACTCAGAACTGTGTAACTCTGAATTGTTCTTGTTTAGCTTTCTTAAATACATTCCTGGTAGTTCCATCTCAGGGCTCTTACAGAAATATGGCAAGTTTGGTGATCAAATTTCTTGGTCATTCTCTAGACAGATTGTTGCTAGTTTAGAGTATCTTCACAATAATGGTGTTATTCATAGGGTATGTCACCTTTCCTATAAAAGGAACTTGCACTCACAATTATTGTAAAGGACCTGAAAGCAAACAATGTTCTTGTTGATTCTATTAGGATCTGTAAAATCTCTGACTTTAGCATATCCAAGTGGACAGATGACATTAACAAGAATGGCCTTTATACACTAATGTAAGGATCTGTCTTTTGGATGGCTCCAGAGGTTATTTGGGCTGTGAGAAAAGGGGATATGTACAATTATAATAGGAGGTGGACATCTGGAGTCTAGAGTGTGTTGTGCTTAAGATGTGGGTTAGGTGTTGGCTGTAGCAAGGTGTAGACACAATAGATCTCATATACAAGGTGAGTGTCTTTGAGAATGGATATTGAGAATAAGTATTGACTTCTTATCCAGCTAATTACAAAGCAAGGTATTCCTCCTGTTCCTCCTAACATTGTATTTGGACCAAACACAGAAGATTTCAGAAAGAAATGCTTTGAAATTGAGCTAGATGACTGACCATCTGTATTGGAACTGTATTAACATCCCTATTTGATTTTGCAGCCAGACTGGAACTTTGCTGGATTCAGATTTGAATAGTTAATAGTATTTGTTTTGTTTTTTTGTTTTCCTTTCCTTTCCTTTCCTCTTTTTTTTTTTTTTGTATTGTAGTATAACACCTTTTCTCTTAAATCATTTACATACCCATATTAGAACAGTCTTTACAACATTAGACAAGAATGGAAGACCTGTCTCTAACTTGTTTAAGGTCACATTACAGTAACCATGTTGTTAGGTGGGAAAGCTACCACAGCCTCTTAGCATCTCTTTCTTGATTCATTAAGTCCTAGAAGTGTATTAACACCTTCATTAGGAAAAGTCGCATTTCTTATAATATATT